CACCCATGCCCTGTTGGTGGGACTGCAAGTTAGTAAACCATTCTAGAAAAGCAGTATGGAGATTCCTCAAAAGATTAGGAATAAAACCACCATGTGACCTAGATATTCCATTCTTTCGCAGTTATCCAACAGAACTAAAATAAGCACACTGTACTAATACAGGCACATCAATATTTAGAGTAGTGCAATTCACAATAACCAAGTTATAGAATGATACCAAGTGCCTTCCAAGATATTAATGGAAAGAAAATGTGATGTCTATATAGACAATGACAGTTTACTAAGTCATAAAAAATGAAATTATGGTATCTGCTTGCAAATGGACGGAAATGAAGAACATCATGATGACTCTCTCTCCTCTCCTCTCCTCTTTTCTTCTCTCTCCTCTCCCTCCCTCCCCACTTCCCCCTTCTGGCAGTGGAGAACATTGATCTCTTGTTAACAGCCCCTGGAGATAAAGCTTGGCTGTGCAGAAGAGTGGATGGGGAGGTGGGAGGGAAGGAGGTTTCCATAAAATCTCTCTTTCCCTCTCTTTCCCATTGAAAACATTTTGGAAAGTTTGGATCTGAGAATGTGAAAAGGCAAGATAGGGGTTAGAGAAACTCCCATTCATCTCTTTTATCCTAAATATTGATAGGATCTAACAACAGTAAATGAATGATGTCGTGAATATTTATTGATCACTTACTGCTAGGTAGTAAAAATGCATTAACTCATACACTCCCTATCAAAATAGCCTGAAGTGGACCCTTGGCCCCATAATGCTCAGCAAAGTCACCTATCCCAGGTCACACAACATAACTACCTTATCTAAGCCTAACTATGTCCCAAATTGGTTTGGGGAATAATGTTTGTGCATTTTCATTTGTTTCAAGAGAGAGTTTTAATTACCTTCTTTATTTCTTCCTTGATCTGTTGGTGTTCAAAAGTAAGTCATTTACTTTATATGTATTTGTATAATTTTTAAAGTTTTTCTTGTTATTGATGTGCAGTTTCACTTTATTAGAGTAGGAAAAAATACTCAAAAGTTAATTTTAAATTTTTAATATTTATTGTGGCTTGTTTTGTGACCTATAATATAGCCTATCCTGAAGAATGTTTCATTTTCTAGTGAGGAAAAAATATGTGTTCTACAATTGTTGGACAGACTGTCCTATAGATGTTTATTAGGTCCATTTGGTTTATGATTAAATTAACTCTGCTGTTTCTTTGTTGTTGTTGTTGTTTTCTGGATGCCATCTCCATTGATGAAAATGGGGTTTAAAGTCTCCTACTATTATTGTATTAGACCCTATCTCCCCCTTTAGGTCTATTAATATTTGCTTTATATACTTTTTTTGTTCCAATATTGGGTGCAAATATGTTTGGAATTACTTCTTGACAAGTTGATCCCTTTATCATTATATAATATTTTCCTTATCTCTTTTTATTACTTTTGATTTAAAGTCTGTTTTACCTGCTATAAATATAGCTACTCCTGCTTTCTTGTGGGCTCCATTTGTGTGGAATATTTTATTCCATCCCTTCACTTTCAGCCTATATGTGTCCTTAGAGATGAGATGGGTTTCTTGGAAGCAGCATAACTTTGGGTCTTGTTTTTTTATGTATTCTGTCACTCTGAGACTTTTAATTGGACAATTTAATCCATTTACATTTAAAGTAATTATCTATAAGTAAAATCTTCCAACAGCTATTTTGTATTTTGTTTCCTGGTTTTATTGAAGTTCCTTCATTTATTTTATCTCTCTTACAGTCTTCCTTTGTAGTTAAATGATTTGCTCTACTGTGTGTGTTTGATTCTCTACTTAATCATTTTATTTGTCTGATATTCATTTGATGGAAAATACTTACAAAAAATTGTGGGGGTTGAGGGGATGGGGTTATGGAGATCAAATTCAGTTGTCACATATGCCAAGCAAGTGCTCTACCACTAAGTTATGTCCACATTCCCAAACAACATCTTTTCATTACAGTAATTTTAAATGATAATAACTTAACAAGATTGTAAAGACAACAAAGTACACTAATAAAAATCTCTACACTTGCACTCAATTCCTCTCTACAATTTGAACATCTCATGTTCCCTTTCACATTTTTCTTCCTCCTCCTCCTCCTCCTCTTCTTCTTTTTTTGGGGGGTGGGGGTGGGGTACAGGAGCACTTAATCACTGACCTACATCCCCAGCCTTTTTATCTTTTATTTTGAGACAGGGCGTCACTGAGTTGGTGAGGCTGGCTTTAAACTCATGATCCTCCCACCTAAGCCTCCCAAGCCTGTGGGATTCCAGGCATGTGCCACTGTACCCAGCTGTTCAATGTTTTTAATTGCTTTCTTCTCTGTTAAATTCCTCTGAGTGTTCAATTATTTGTGTTTTCTTGAAGCTCACTGAGTTTCCTTAAAGCAGCTGCTTTAAATTCTCCATTCTGCATAAACTTGGTTTGGCACCTTATTGTGACTGTTAGGTGAGTTGTGGCTTCGTGGAAGCTCATGGTTTCTGGATGTCTGGTGCTTGCTCTTCTGAAGCCTCATCACTCACTGAAGAATTACATACTTATTCCAGCCTTCATAATCTGCCTTCGTTTGTGTCCGTCCTTCCAGAAATTTTAAGCAGGCTGTTTATTTCTGAGTCTGCACTCAGTATATTTATTTTGGCCCTAGAGGGCACTCTAAGTCCAGGTTTGCCAGGAATGTTCTGGTAGCATGCTGCTCATATTTTAGCACTGCGGATGTCTTTTTCATCATGAACTGGAGCAGGGTCTAAAATAGCCCATCTCCACAGCCTCTCCTCGAGGCTGGGGTAGACCCAGATGCCTCATCTACAGTCGCCAGCTTCTGACTGCACACTGCAGGATTCTCCCAAGCCCTGGAGAGACTCACCACAAAAAGACCATCCCAGGCTCCTGTGCCACACTTATAGCCAACAACACTGCAAAGCTGTGTTATTGTGTTATGCCCTAGGCTCACAGTCCACCCAATCCAGAGCAGCAGTAGGGAGGACCAAAGCCCATGCCCTAATGGCTTGCCTATTGCTTGTAGCCCTGCTCCCAGGCAGGTGCACTATTGCTCTCTCCTCTTCTGTCCCAGGCTGGAGGAGAGGTAGTGTAGGTCATCAATCCCCCAGCTAAGCATCCCCAATGGCCCAGTCCACAGGTATTGGCCTGGAGGTAGGAGTTGTGGGGCTCTACCCCATGTGGTGTTCCATTCTACTAAGCCTGGTACCGGGTGTCAAGTTTGAGTCTTTGTCTTAACACCCTCTCCTTCCCCTAAGCAGAGGCATCTCTCTCCACATTGCATTGCGTGGAGATAGGGGAGGGGAGGGGTGACCCAGGCAGATCTTTCCTTCCTACTTTCTTCAATTCCTCTTTTCATTAACTAAACCCAGGAACTATGGTCTCTGGGCACCCAGCTTCCTTAACTCACGTGAGGTTTAGTTCATGAATAGAAGTTCACATTGGTGTGTCTGGGAGGAGATGATCACTGAAGGCTCTGACTCAACCACCATCTTGCCCCGCATTGTACCTTAAAATCCAAAATCTAAGATACTTCAAGTTTTTAAATACTTGGCATGCAAAAAAGAATGTGGAAAAGATAAACACTTTTGTAATAAAACTCCTTCTGGATTATAGAATACTTTGTACCCGGGGAGCGGGGGTGGAATGTGATTTGTAAACAGCCAAGTATTTGGTAACCCATGAGGTAGTTCATAAGCCAAGGCATTTGTAAAGTAAAAAGTGATTTTGCAGATGGCCAAGTGTTTTCTCCTGTGCCATTCCCTGTGGGAAACCTTACTATTGTTATGGCCAATTAGAATAGCAGTCCCTTCCACCCCCGACCTCAAGTCCTGAAATGACCACTGAAGTCACAGAGAAATCCTGATTCCTAACAACTTCAGCCACCTCTGAAAGAGAGGTGATTAAAGAAAGGAGACTAACACTGGTCCCCTCTTTACCCAGAAAGAGTGAGAAAAGTGTGGTTCTCCTGCTGATGCTTGCATACTGAGATGAACTTCTAGAGACTGTGCAGAGCTTGTGCTAATCACCTAGGTTATGCACCAATATTCCCATGCTCTCCTCTCCAGACACCTGTCAAAATTACATCTCCCCTCTCACTATGAAGTTACACAGCCTTGCACTATGGTTTGGATATTGGTTCTGGTGTTTCCCAGAGGCCTAATTGTGCAAGTCTTGATCCACAGGTGGCACTATTAGGAGGTAGCAGAATCTTTAGGAGATAGGGCTTTGTGGGAGGTCCTTGGGTCACTGGGGGCTTGCACTAGAGGAAGTGCTAGCTGCACCTGCTAGCTTTCTCTCCCTCTCCCCCAACCCCTCTTTCCTGGCTCAAGATGTGACCTTAAGCACTCCTGCAATGATGTGTCACCATCCTCTGTCCTCGCTGAATGTGAGTCATTGAGGACTCCATGACATTAAATCCCCAAAGTATGAGATTTTAAAAAATCCTTTTATGTTTATAAATTAGTTGCCTCAGTATCTTGGATGCAGTAACATGAAACTAATACATGGTTTGCTTTTGTCAACAGAATATGAGTCAAAGGATCGTTACCCATTTTATAGAAACAGAACCAATATTAGTAGTATTTAGAAACAGATAAACAAAAGAGAAAAATGGTCAGATAGTGTTGGCCTTGAAATTGTAGGGAAAAGCACCACAAATTTTCATATTCACAGAAAGAAAAGTAAAGAAAAAATACAGATAAGAAATGTGTGTTGGGGGGGAAGTATATGGAAAATACAAGGAGAGACAAGAAGTGACACTCATTCCCAGGAGATGATGGCTGCCACAGGTCCTTCTTTCTTCTTTCATTGTGTCACCTGCAGCAATATTCTATCAGTGAGCTTATGCCAAGTTATGCTGCAGTAACAAGAAATCCCAGAATTTCCATTGCTTACAGTAGCTAATGTGTACTTCTTACTCATATTCACTTTTATAAAAAGTCAGCTCAAGACTGAGTTGCCAGTATTCTTTATTGAGGATTCAGACTGGAGAAGCAAAGCCATCAAGGACTTTGTTAATCTTGCAGCAGAAGAAAAACAGGAGTCATGACATTAAGTTATTTAGGGTATTTCTTGACCCTTTTCCCTTGGTCAACTTTGAAGGCCATCTGGAAGTAAATGGAGACTATAGCATGCTGGATGGAGGACAGACTACAGAAATTACTTTACACAGAAGAGAGGGAGCAAGAAGGAGCTCAAGAGGCCTCACTTTTTTTGGAGATGGGGCTGAATGGAAGGATTCTAAGGAAATCTGCATCCCTTCTTTCTCTCTGTGGCAGGACAGGAAGCAGAGTTGGAACACAGGGGGCAACTTTCCCAGCCAGTTCCCTTTTGGCATGAGTTCAATGTCTTCTGGGGCCTTGGGACAGCCCAAAGAGAAGCTCTGAAGCATGGAGGTAAAAAATAGGAAGAGCTCAGAACGGGCCAGGCTCTCTCCCAGACAGATGAATTTTCCTGGGGGTGTAAGAGAGGTTGTGTTATTATGGGGGATTCTGGAAGAGTACCCGGTTGTCCCACCCATTCTCCCTGGATATTTGCATGCGCATTTGCATAGATTTACATATGAAGCACTTATGTTCATATTCTTGTCCTCCATACAAATAACCTGAGTGTCTCTCTGTTCCATCTCATCTTGGCTATCCTGTACCATCTCTGCATCTCCTGATCTTTGTCTTTGCCTCTTTCACACTCCTTTTCTCTGTATGCCTCTGATTAAGTATATTATCAACTAAGCAAATTTATGAGAAAATGTGAAGAACATGGAAGAACCTCTCTAATGTGTCTTATAGAAAGCAGCAAGAGGGAGGCAGAGGTGAGCTGAGACCTGCAAGGTCCCCTCCTAGGCTGACATTCAGTGGGGTAGGCTGTAGATCTGTACTGGCTGTTAGACTATCCAACTACTTCTAAAGGGATTGATATACAGTGGCTACTCAAAGCTACTGACTGGTCTGGTTCACCATGACTCCTTGCCCAGGTCCCAAGGCTCTTTCCTAGTCAGCAGCCCACCCAGTAAGCCTCCAAGATCCTGTTCCAGCACACCAATGGTAACTGTTCTGATTGACTGATGGTCATATGCCTATGTCCTTGGGCTGGGCACAGTTTGGGCTGCAACCCGTTGACTGCAGCTTCCTGGGGAAGCGAGGAAGCCTGGAGAGTTGCCTTTCAGAGCACAATAAACTGTGTTGCCATGACCAGCATGGCCAATCCAGCAGGTTCTAGTGAGGGGCGAAGATGGATAAGAAAAATAAACACTCACAAATGTATAGATACTTTTGAAGATTCAGCTGGGGTCAGATGGAGCACTGCTCTCTGATGGAGAAGTAGATCTAAAGAATTATGTCAACAATCTTTATTTATATATGACTTATTATCATATTAAAGAGTATGCAATCATTATTCTTGAAAGTATTCATGAAAGTTACAGAGTTAGCAACATTATGCAGCTTTTCTGCAGTTACATTCTATAATTGTTATGTGCAATGTTAGGAGCTTTGTGTAGCTCTATAGAAAGTCCATCCTTAAAAGTTACTGTTAGGTGGGCAGGTTCAGGAGGGAGCTGGTGAAACATTGTGGTTATCTAGCAAGAAAGTTTCTCTATTCTCAGGAATCTTGTGCCTGAGATCAAGGTCGAGGCTGATAAGACCCTAGCACAGAGCCTCCTTGTGAAGGGCATTACCACAGTAGCTAGGCATCTTGCACCTTTTCACTGAAACTTCCCAAGGCACCAAGTATTCCACAACCATGAGGTCATCAGAGACCACAATTTCAGACACTTTTCTCCCATTCACCATCATTGCTCTTCACACT